AAAGTCCCACAAGATCTTCATCTTCTCATTTTTGAGAACTTTTTCCACTTTATGTTCCCATGACTTTTCGGATACAGGTAAGTCATATTTTTAACATAATGACCAGTGGATTGATTCAGCAATTCAGACATGTCTAGCTTTGTAATCAGTTTGTGCAATTTTGCTGCATTCACCTATTAAGTGTCACACAGTTTCAACTTTGTCATTGCATTAGTTTATAGTACTTGTTCTTGAGCAGCAAGTATAAAACTTCAATTTCTTTCTCAATGGTTCCCATCTTAAGCCATGCCCATATCAAGTTGCATTCAAATTTTCCTTCAGTGTTTTTCAAGTGCTGTCCATGCATCATCATCATTATTGTTATTATATTTATATATCTTATTATTATATTTCGTATTATATTTCTTCTTGTTGTTGTTGTCGTCATCATCATCATCATCATCATCATCATCATCATATGGCATTGTTACATTAGCTCTGTTGAAGAAAATGCTTTCCAAGGTGTGCCACAGGGCGAGCTGGCTTCGCACCAGAAAGAAACATGAGAATGTCTTCCTGCAGCATCATCCTAGGCCCCCTCCTTCCCTGGAGATACCTCCCAAATGGACACCACAACCAGAAAGGTTCAGTGCCCCCAGGATTATAAATAAAGGTTAAATAAATATTAAATAAATCTAGATTAAACTGAGAACTGGTGTGGTATAAGGTATGTGGTGTTAGAATAGGATGGAGAGAGTCAGATCCAAGTTAACCCTCAGCCATGGTGGATGATCACTGTATGATTTTGGCCAGTCATGCTTTGTTTTGAAGAAGAAAAACTAAAAGAGACAATGCTATGTATGCCACTTTATGCTTTGGGAGAAAAGGCAATATATATACTGGATATAGTGTTATAGTTTACAACTAATTTTTCAATTGTAAGCTGCCCAAAGGCATTAATTGAGATGGGCAGCTATAAAAATGGAATGAATTAATGAATTAATTAATTAATGAAATTCAGTTTAACTATGTATTATTTAGTTAATATAACATCCTGATATAACACTCTGGATGTACTCTGTTTAGAAAGAAAATTCCTATTTCTTCCCATTAAGAATAAACTTGTTAGAAATGAAAAAGAAATTATATCTCATATTAAACTAACAACTATTTTCCTTAAAATAAAAAAAATAGTAGAGTTCACCAAGGAGTCAGGTCTGATTTGAAGCTTAGGTTCTTCTCAAACAATATTTTATTAATTTCAGCAATCTATTTTATTTCCAAATCAGAGATTATCAAATTCTTCATTCATTGACTCAAAGTATTTATTTAGTCTGCAGCTAACATTGTGTTTATCTTCTTTAGTGTGTATTTAGTAAACAATCAAGAGAAGGAAGACATTCTTAAATGCCCAGCTACTCCTTGGAGGAAATAGTTTTTGCATGCAGAAGAAATTAGTACTGTCTGAAGATTTCTGGTTCCGCGCACTATATTTCTCAGAGTTATAACCACAATTATTCAGCAGCAGTCTTTGTGAGTAGACCACTCTCAGGGGCTTCTATTTTTTTTAAAAAGTGCACACAATTTCATCATTACCAATTCAGATTGATTACATTACCTTAGGAATGTCTTTTTACAGTTCTGCCTTGTAATATGTATGTCAGCATTTCCAAGAGAGTTTGGATTGAAGAGGCCTATACCAGAGTTAGAAGAGTTATTGTTTAGGTCAGCGGATTGCTGAAAAACTTCTATTGTCGCCTTTGCAATATTATCCAACAAGCTGTTCATTTCAGCCACAGACCCAGAACCCTACAGTAAAACATAAGTAAACTAGCGCATTCATGTTATGTTTGCTCATACACTAAGTTATTTTGTAAAGATATATGATTAATTAAAAAGAAAGGAAGAAATACTCACAGGTTCCTTCAGACACTGTTTGATCATTAGCTGAAGTTCCAGCCATGACTGTCTAAGAGTCCACTGATCTATATTCTGGATTAAAAAAAGGAGAAAAATTTTCTTCATAACATTTCTAAAATTATTATTGTCATTAATAAAGTTGATATATAGTTTTATTATATGAGATGAAATATTTTGTTATAAATGTATATTGAATACAGCTAATTTTATTCATTCTTGCTGCTGGAATCCTGTGAGTGGATTAAATTGAGAAAGCAGGGTGAGAGAAAGGGAATATAATCTTATAGCAATATACACTTGATCAAAGTTTGTCTTCTATTCAAATCTAGTTTAAGAATAGGAATGCCACTTGTACAGATGGTTTTGAGTTTCCATATTCCAATCTAGGACTTTGCATTTCTCTAAGTGAAAATTCAACTTGCTAGTTTCTTCTAATTGTTTCAATCTTTTATGATTCTCTTGAGTTGTATACTTTTCTCAAATGTTGCTTGTCTCCCGACCCGCACGATGACCCTTGTAAATGCATTGATCTTATCTTCTATTTCTTAATCCAAGTTGTGTATAAATATGTGGAATAGCAATGGGCCTAGAAAATAGCTTTGTAGTAGTATGCTACTCAACATAATTTTCCAACTTGATCCATGATACATCCGAGGATAATTGTAGACCATATTATATGAGTAAAAGATGAATCATAGCTTTCTTCACAACAAAAGTGTAATGCAGCTATCCTTCCCCCCAAAACCAATACCAATATTATATCAAGCTATTTTTAGAATATAGTGTATAGTTCTGAACACCAAAAGTTTAGCAAAGACATTGACAAACTTAATTGCATCCAAAAACCAACAATCAAAAAGTGGTAGAAGATTGTCCAATAATTGTCCTAAATATAAGAAGTATTTAAATAGAGGACAGAGCATGACAGTCAGGAAGTCTATAGTAACAGATTCTCAGACTGAGGCAATTTGATTAGATAATCCCCAATCAATTAGCATTGATTCCATTCTATGAATCAATTATTCCATCTTTATAATTGCACATTGTTTTTATTTAACAACTCCTGATGGTGCAATAGTTAGAATGCAGTATTGCAGGCTAACTCTGTCCACAGCCTGGAGTTTGATCCTGATTGGCTAAAGGTTGACTCAGTCCTCCATCCTTTTGAAGTTGGTAAAATGATGACCCAGATTGTTGGGGGCAATATCCCGACTCTGTAAATCATCCACAGAGTGCTGTAAAGCACTATGAAGCAGTAAATAAGTCTAAGTGCTTTCAATAAATATGAAACAATATTCCAAACATTTACTTCATTTAGAAAAAAGGAAGCAACAATAATGCAATGAAAAAAGCAAATCAAATACAAACTGTTTTCGTATCTAAGCTTAAATAATTTCAGTTTAAATGTGGTTACCTGAAGAATGCGCTTGATGTGTTGCCTCTGAGGATTGTCCCCTTCTGTGCATTCTTTAATACTATAAGGGTAGCAGATAAGCTGCAACAATTTCTGTGCTTGTTTGTTGGAGAGAACTGGATCCAGGATAAGATCTTTGTCGGTACATAGCCTCTCAGGTTCTTTCAAGCAGTGTTCCCCCACCCATTCCTACCAAAAGAATTAGATAGAGAAAAAGCATCAATACAAAAGTTAAAGCCAAACTTAAATGTTTAACTTGAACGTAACTCGAATGTATACAAGAAAAAAAGAATGACATGGCCATAGGTATATATTATAGAGCACCCAATCAAGCAGAAAAAATAGAAGTCCTTTTTGCCAGCCAACTAACAAACATATGCAGGAAACACACAACAGTAGCAATGGGAGACTTCAATTATCCTGATATCAATTGGATAACTAATTCTGCACCAAGTGAGAAATCAAATAAGTTCCTAACCAACCTAGCTGACAACTTTGTTGTCCAAAAGATAGAGGGTGAAACTAGAGGGACAGCCATACTGGACTTAATTCTTACAAACAGAGAAGAAGTGATAGAGGGAGTTGAAACTGCAGGAACCTTGGGTGAGAGTGACCATGTCATACTAGAATAAAACATAACACAAACACAAGCAACAGAACATAATGACACCAGACTCTTGGATTTTAAAAAAAGTTGATTTCAATAAACTCAGAGAGAACTTGGGAAAGATTCCATGGATGAAAATCCTAAAGGGGAAAACAACTCAAGAATCTTGGGAAACTCTAAAAAGTATAATCATAGAAGCCCAGACCAGCACAATAACACTGAGAAAGAAAAACAAGAAATCCAAGAAGAAACCAGCATGGCTACACAAAGATCTCTCTGGCAAATTGAAAGAAAAAAAGGACAAGTACAAAAAATGGAAAGAAGGACATACAACTAAGGCAGAATATCAGCAGATAGCCAGAATCTGCAAATACGAAGTCAGGATAATAATAAAAAAGTTTCTTCCAACATATAAATAACAAGAAAAAAATCAAGGAAACAGCCGGTCCACTAAAGAAAGATGATGGCAAGGAAGTAACAGGCAACAGAGAGAAAGCAGAACTGCTTAACATCTGTCTTCACGCAAAAAGAAACTATAGCTCAACCCACCAAAAACATAACTGTAAAAGCCAGAGCAGAAATAAAAGTTAAAATAAGCAAAAAAAAATAGTAAGAGAACACCTGTCTGATCTTGATGAAAACAAATCACCGGAGCCTGATGGATTACATCACAGAGTTTTAAAGGAGCTGGCAGAGGTCATCTCAGAACCACTGCACCATATCTTTCAAAAATCCTGGAGCACCAGGAAACAACCAGAGGACTGGAAAAGAGCTGATGTGGTTCCCATCTTCAAAAAAGAAAAAAAACAGACCCAGGAAATCATAGACCAATTAGCCTAACATCAATACCTGGGAAGATACTGGAAAAGATAATAAAAAAACAGATCTGCCAACATCTAGAAACAAGTAAAGTAATAACTAGCAGTCAGCACGGGGTTGTTAAAAACAGATCATGCCAAACCAATCTTATTTCATTCTTCAACACAATGACTAAATTAGTAGACCAGCAAAATACTGTGGACATAATATATTTAGATTTCAGCAAGGCATTCGACAAAGTAGACCACAACCTACTTCTTAGTAAGCTAGAAAAAAGTGGAATAGATAGCATCACCACTAGATAGATTCGCAACTGGCTGGCAAACCGTACTCAATGAGTAGTCCTTAATGGGTCTAAGTCTACATGGAGGGAAATAAGCAGTAGGGTGCCACAAGGTTCCGTCTTAGGCCCAGTACTCTTCAATATCTTCATTAACAATTTAGATGAGGGAATAGAACGGGAACTTACCAAATTTGCAGATGATACTAAGCTGGCAGGAATAGCTAACACCCAAGAAGATAGGCTCAAGATCCAGATGGATCTTGACAGACTAGAACACTGGGCCATATCTAACAAAATGAAATTCAATGTAGAGAAAAGTAAAGTCCTACAATTAGGCAAGAAAAAACAAAACACATATAGACTGGGTGAAATCAGGCTCAATAGCAGTAACTGTGAGAGGGATCTTGGAGCCTTAGTGGACAACCAGCTAAATATGAGGCAGCAGTATGCAGCAGCAGCCAAAAAAGCTAATGCAATCCTAAATTGTATTAACAGAGGGATACAGTCAAGATCAAGGGAAGTACTAATACCACTCTATAAAGCCTTAGTAAGACCACACCTAGAGTACTGCATCCAGTTTTGTCATCACATTATAAAAAAGATGTTGAGACTCTAGAAGTACAGAGAAGAGCAACCAGGATGATTAGGGGACTGAAGGTTAAAACATACAATGAACAGTTTCAGGAACTGGGCTTGGCTAGTCTAGTAAAGAGAAGGACCAGGGGAGACATGATAGTGGTCTTCCAATATTTGAAGGGCTGCCACAGGGAGGAAGGGGTCAAGCTATTTTCTAAAGTGCCTGTAGGCCAGACAAGGAATAATGGATGGAAACTGAACAAGGAGAGATTTAACCTGGAAATAAGGAGAAACTTTCTGACAGTAAGAACAATCAACCAATGGGACAGCTTGCCCTCAGAAGTTGTGGGAGTGCCATCACTTGAGACTTTCAAGAAGAGATTGAACTGCCATTTGTCAGAAATGGTGTAGGGTCTCCCGCTTGGGCGGGAGGTTGGACTAGATGACCTAAAAGGTCCCATCCAACTCTGATTATCTGTTATCTGTTTATCTGTATAACAAAAACACAGTCTTTTTCAAAAAGAATTAAATTCATACTAGATATTACTTCTTTATGACAAAAGATGAGTCTAACTTCATTTTGCACTGTAACTTCAATACTTGTACTGAAAATGACTTGAACACAAATATTGTAGAGGTCATTTCTACTGTATACATGATTTGAAATAATTTTGAATAAAATACCACTTTTCAGTGTTGTAGTTATTGCATGTAATATATTCATATCTCAACTATTCTTTGCAAGAGTAAAAATGCATATGTTATCACTGGCATTTTATCATAATAATACTATTAACTCCAGTGCAGGCTTTAAGATAGAGACTGGACATGGCTGAATAGAGATTGGAAACCAATCTTGATTGTCTTTGTCCTACTCCATAGTTACTCTACACTGACAAGGGTAACGGATTCAATTTCACATGGACACACAAACCAATGCAGTCACCAACTTTCACAATCCCTGGAATAAGGCTGTCACTTTTGCAAAATTATATCTATAAACACAATAATAAAGGAAAATGAAGACCATTGTTACCTGCTGACAAATGCTTCTTAGTACATATCTAGCATATTCACTGAGAGTAGCAGTTTCTATGGAAATGGTTTTTCCATACAAAGACTTTGAGGTAGCTTTCCAGATCTCATCATCATTTAGATCTCCCAATAAGCTTTGTACAGGGTAATCTGAATTTTTCAAGGAGGGAATATTGTTGCTTCCAATTTCAGCATCACCTATTGTAGGAATAGTAAAAAAAAAAAGATGAAAATGTGTATTAGTCCTTTAATATAGTTTGGTTTTTACCTAAGGGTCCTCCTAATTTATTTATGCTTAATGCTATTTCCAGTTTTAGAAGTTGTTGATATATTATTTTAATATATGAGAATTTCTGGCTACTCTTTTAGAAAAGTTAGTCTAATAAACATTTCTTCAATTACATACACTATGGTATGATATAATTTGTTAACACACTAGAGTTCTAACAAGTAAGATAAACATTTTTAAATTTTACATTAAAGCAAATAAGAAAGAATGTCATACAACACCAAAGTTACATACTTTAATAAGCAAACATATTAAAGGCAAATTTATATTACTGCAGAGGAAGAATACTGATTGGTAGACATTATGTTTTTAGCTATTAATTTTGCATCCTGTCTTTTTTTTCTAGGAGCTTAAATGTAAAAGGAGGATACCTCTTTGTTTTTACCCAGTACAATAACTTAATTCTTAGGCTGAGCTGAGAAGTAGTGTTTGGCTCAAAGCCAACACTGAGATCTATGGGCAAATGGGGCTTCAATTTGGTCTCCATTGGCCTGTGTCAAGTGCAAAGGATCGGGACCATACCTGATTGGAGGTTGAAGGACAGAAGATTTATTCAGGCCTATGCACAAGAATCTAGTAAACTAATGCTCAGCACTAAATTGGTGCTAGATAAGGGTCAATAGAATTCAAGGGGGGCTGGACTTGGATCATTTGTGGCATGGTAAGGACTCTAAGCTGATTTAACTCTGCTCCCAGCTCTTCCTGCCAAATATTTTAACTAGTACCTTCCAGATCATCTCATACAGTACCCTATACTATCTCCCATTTGTACTTTTATTAACCTATGATTCATCCTGGAAGATGTTTCTTGCACTGCGATTCACTTTCTAGAAAAGTTTCAAGTTTATCAGTATTTTAGTAAATATCTGAATGTATATCTGTTTGGCCATTGCATGCCCAAATAACTAAATACAAAGATAGTTTTCCCCCATGTCATTATTCTGGTAAACACCTAATTCCCCAACACTGATTCCTGCCCAGTGGTGGGATGCTGCCAGTTCTCACCAGTTCTAGCAAACTAGCAGCATTGGTAAGCAGTTGTCCCTGCCATCCCACACCTGCCCTTTCCCGTGCTTTATTTCCTTGTTTGTGAGCTCAGCTGATTCGTGTGGTAGACAGATTGCTGCACCTCAGCTGTTTTACTCACCAGTGCTGAATACAAGGTCAGTTTTGAAGCTTAAAATCAGTGGTTTATGGACACTGCCCACATGCGCGAAGTGAAGTGCGCTCTCATAGAACCGGTAGTAAAAAAAGGGTGAATCCCACCACTGTTCCTGCCTAAGAATATTTACCTATGTAGTAATAGCAATAGTTGTATTGCTATTATCCTTCTAATCTTTCCTATTATCTTCTCCTATTGGTTACCTTTTGATTTATAACTTTGTTGTTTGTTTCTTTTGATTTATGATTGTATCTTATGATTTATCACTTTATTGTTTGTATGTACACTGAAAGCTTATGTATGTAAACTGAGAGCTTATGTTTGTATGTACACTGTATATTTGTATGTACACTGAGAGCCTATGTACCAGACACAAATTCTTTGTGTATCCAATCGCACGTGGCCAATAAAGAATTCTCTATCCCTCCAAGGACCATAGGCCTATCTTCAAAGTAAACACGTACAATGAAGAACTTTAAAGCATGATCATACCAAGCATAAGAATTGCTTTCAAAACAGCAAATACTGCTCCTACTTCTATGCTGTTGTGAGCAGCACTTAAAAGGCGGCGATCGCAAGATGACCGAATTCCTGGAAAACATTTTTCTGTATAAAAAGAAAACAATATTCTTTAGGAATACTAATTTCTGTTTCAGTGGCACAAAAGCTATTGTACTTTAAGAAAGGAAATAAATTTGGAATTCTTACCATTGGACAATAAGGAAATATTGGGTGTTTGGAAGAGATGTAGAAGAAGACGGCAAGTCATCCGTGCCCCTGGTTCAGCATCTGGATCTCCACAAGCTAAGAAAAGAGTACCATTTTATTATTACATCAAAGTTGTCAGCATCAGTGCAACTGGGAAAAAAACCTCTTAAAACTAATTTTAAACAATTGAATCAATAAAAAAAATGTTTTCACATATTATCGCTGAGGAAAATTCTTCCTAAATAAAATGTTCTGCAAAATAAAAGGGTTTTTTTAATAAAAACTTTTTTCATAAATATATTTAATACTGTTTGGTTACCCATTTTTCCAGTTTAATATTTCACCTTTATATAGAATAAGAAAAGATTTGAACTATTATTTAACATGTTGAATGCATTTTGAAGATTTGATAGATACTGACAAGACAATTTATGAAGAAAAATGATGAATGCGAAATATATGATTGAAAAAAAAATGTTTTGTAAAAAGACACAAAGGTTGGATGTAACAATTAAGAAATATTATGGGAAATAACAATGGAGGAACTGAAAGATACAGAATAGATGTGTAAAAAGTATTTAAAAAGCCAAATTTGAATTTGTGTGAGACTTAAGAAGCGGCTTCAAGTAAACATAATGCAAGATCTAAGATCGGATAATTTTATTTAAAATTCAGAAGGAACAGTACCGTGAGAATGAAATCAATAGTTGTGCAACACAGTTTAACAAAGCCCAAAGCAAAATTAGTATTTGATGGCATAAATAGGACATCCCAGATAAAAGAATAATAAAAATAAATGTTCAATTTATAAATGCAAAAAAACTAAAATGGTTTGATTTCTAGCACTAAGAGATAGCTCGTGGACAAATGGGTTGTTCTATGAACAATCTTAGCAAGTCTTTCTTCCCAAGAAGCAGGGACTCTTATTATTTTAATACACTTTTAAACCTTACCTGCTGTAAGTAAAGAAGGAAGAGCTACATGTTGAACAACATCCTCAAGGAAAAAACATTGACGAGCTATCAGTATTGCAACGAAGGTAGCCAATGAATCATGGAATGAAAGATCACTCACCTTAAAGGAAAAAGAAAAAGAGAAAAAGAAAAAGAAAAACTCAGAGTTAACATTTCTGTTGGTTCACTTGATAGTACAGAAACATGATATTTTTACACAGATCTAATTTTATAGAAGTGTGATTTTCTTTTGTATGGTTTTCTATTTCTTTCTATTGATTGATCTACCTTTCCCTGACTCTGTGCTACAATATATCAGTTGCTGGTTTTTAACTTGCTTTGATCCCAGCAAGTCAGAGGTCTGAAAGTGTGAAGTCACTACTGATGTACAGAGGTAATACAACTCAGATACAAAGTAACAATACAAAGTAATAGCGTTCAGCAGCTAAGGTAACTTACATCATAATTAACATGACAGGTAGACACATCCAGCTGCCATCAGACTATACGTGTTCTACTGCACTGAAATAGCTTTATTATAGCATTATGTCAAGACAAGTTACCTTGTCAATGGGAAATTATCTCCCAAACCAGAAGAATAAAGGTGTTCATAAAATGCTATTTCAGTTCAACTGTAATAATTCCACTATTTCTACTAAACTTTGTTAATTCATTCAGTGTTTTTAAAAAAAGTTCTATGGAGAAAAGTCTTGGACTTCAATGAACAGTTGCAGGTTTCTTAAACTTCAGCTTTCCCTTATACTCTGGTATCAGGTAAAATCTCTCCTGAAATCTCTCCTGAAAACTCAAAACATTGGAGAAATGATTCATGTAAATTAACAACTAATATTGTGTTATGTGTAAGAAGCATAACATCAAATAATCATTTGCCTTTTTATTATACAAGAAAGCTACAAATATTCACCATGCAAAATAAAAATCAGACTTATCGTCTTAAGTGCATCTTTTGCACTTACATCCACGCTGCAGAGAAGATCATTAAATCCCCAGACATGATTTGAAGAACAGCAAAGGGCTTTCAAGACTCCTAACCACTCTGAACTTAGGACTGTACAGCAAGCAGTTAATTCTGCACACAAGTTGGCAATATCATTAATTCTAGGAAACAAAAAATAAATTTTAAAAACCTAACAAAGTAAAAGGCAACAGTTTCACGGCAGTCAAATATTTGCCATGTCCAATGGTCTGCAACCAAACACATTTTCTTTTTATTAACATATTTAGATAAAATAAATGTGCAATGAAGGAGAAGAGAAAAATGACTCTCTGCTTGTGTCAATGTAAAATATTGGAATTAAAATATATAATTTTAAGTTAATTCTGGGTATCAGCTATTTAAAAGAGTCTTCTTAAAATATTACCACTCAATTATCAAATAGATGGATTATCTAAAAAAATTCAGAGTTAGAAGTGTAGTCCTGTATCTGAAATTCAAGAGATTGCAATGTTGCTAGACAGTCTGATATCTTCCAATAGTGATACCAAAATACCTTATAGGAAGATACATGAGCTTTAAGTAAAAATGCAATTTCCAGCATCTGCTCTATGTCAATTTCTTAGCAGCATGCTAAGACACAGTTTTGTTTTAAAAATGTTGGTTGAATGACTTATAGTGATTGGCTTCACATATCAAATTAACCCATAAGACATGCTTGGTTCCTTCCTCATGGTTAGCTAAGGCACACAAAGCACATTAGGATTTAGGGCAATTTATGGACCCATTCGGTGATGGAATTGTTGGAAAACTTTACATCATCAGGGACATTTTCCATGCATGATTTTCCTTCAAAAAGATATTTATGTAGAAAAAGCAAATGTACCATTATATTATACTGTAATAGTAGCATAATTACAAAATTTTGAATTTGGAGGAAAGAATGTCAAAACTATGTATTTTGTAGTATTAGAACCCATCTGACTCCAGAATAACTCTGTGCAACTTACATTTAAAATAAAAAAACAAAATAACCTAAACATCTGGACAAGCTGTACAACCAGTCAGCCAGAGCTTCACAAACATCCTATTCTAAGTCCTGTGAGAAGAGCCAGGTTCTTAAAAACTTTTAAACACCATCAGAGTGGGATATAAACACCTCTCAGGGAATATCATTCCAGATGGCAGGCACCATGACAGAGTAGTCATACCTTCTGGTCCTCAATAAATGGCATCATTTAATTGAGGAAATCAATGGATACCAAATGGGCAGAGACCACAAGAGATATCCTGGACTTATGCTTTGAAGGGCTTTATGGGCACACTGAACTGTATTCAGAAGCTATTGGCAATCAGTTCAGCTTGGAGTTGTATCACATGGGTGACTGCTTGTACTACTGCATTCTGAACTAGCTGCAGCTTCTAAGTGGTCTTCAAGGGCAGTCCCATTACAGTGCATTACAACAGCCTAATTGTGAAGTGATAAGGGCATGAATAACTGACTAAACAACCTATTGATTCAGGAACAGACACAACTAACAGACCAGATGAAACTTAAGTTATGCAAAGTTCTTCTTAGCCACAGGAGTCCTTGCCATTTAAACAAAAGCTGTGAGGTCAATATACTCCCTAGATTGTGCAACAGTGTTGAATGTGGGAAGGGGAACCCTATCCAAGAATAAACATGGAAAATCCCTAGATCCAAGTGCCAAAACAATCCACAGCAACATAGCCTTGGCAGGACTAAGTCTAAATCTGTTCCTTTCCATTCAGAGCTGCAAACCTTGGCACTGGGACAAAGCACTGAAGCATCACCTGGTGGCCTGGAGTTGAAGTGTACACATATTAATGATACTAGAACGCATACTGACTGATGACCTCACCCAATTCATGTAGCTATTAAACAGAAAGGGACAGAGTCCTGGGGCACTCCACCATGAAGACCTGTCAGCCCTTTGGGGTGGTCCAGACAAAAAGCACAAACCATGCGTACTAATAATACATTTAGTTTAGTTTACTTTATTGTCATTGCACCTCGTACAATGAAATCAAACACCATCTTCAGTGCACATCATGACCATGACTATGAAAATAAACACAAACACACATCCTTCACTCTTCACACATTGAACCGGAAACCCCCGACACCACACCAACACTGCACTATACGGCAGAATTCAAAAGAGCTACTGCCCTGGGATAGAATCAGTTTTTCAGCCTATTTGTCCTTGTTTTTATTATTCTGTACAGTCTGCCAGATGCTAATAGTTCAAAAAAAAGGGTTCCCAGGATGAGATGGATCTTTGAGAATGTTTTAACTTTCTTAAGGCAGCGGGAGCTATAAAGCACTTCCAAAGATGGGAGTGGGCAACCAATGATCTTCTGGGCAATGACATTAACCCTCTGGAATGCTTTCCTATCTGCCACTGTGCAATTGGCAAACCATAGACAGGTGCAGTATGTTAAAAAGCTCTCTATGGTGCAGCAGTAGAAGGTCACCAGCAGTTTTTCATTCAGTTGTTGTTTTCTGAGAAGTCTCAGGTAGTATAATCTCTGCCGCAATGTGGGCACCCCAGGTTCGCCCTCTGTTGGTTGCCTTTTATTGAAGCTCTATAGAGAGCATTTTATCCTATTGCCTCTGTGTGTGGTTTAGGAGTTGTACAGAGGCGGAGAAAAGGGCACTCCAAAGAGTGATAAAAAGGGCACAAAAGATCAGCGGATGTTCTCTTCCCTCATTGGAGGATTTGTACAACATGGGATGTAGAAGGAAGACACAAAGGATCTTGAGAGACCCTTCACATCCAGGCCACTCGTTGTTTGAGATCCTACCATCAGGAAGACGATATAGAGTGCTGAAAGCCAGGACAAGTAGATTTAAACATAGCTTTTACCCAAGTGCTGTGATCAGGTTAAATGCAGAGTTATGAATTTGGTGGTCTTAACATATATATATATCCTGGTTGTATAGTTTTTAACTGTTAATTGTTTCAATTTGTTTTACATTGTTATTTGTATATGTCTTTTGGTGTTGCTCAGTTGTATGTTGTGAAAGAGCACCTTATTTCGTTGTTCTCAGGTTCTGAGTACAATGACAATAAATTTATCTTATCTTATCTTATCTTATCTTTTAGGGTAACACCCAGAAACTTAAAACTGGCCACTTGCTCCACTCAGTCTCCATTGATAAGCAAGGGCTGGATGTCTGATCTGTTCCTTCTATAGTCCACTATAAACTCCTTGGTCTTATTGGTGTTGAGGACCACATTATTGTCTCCACACCGCATTTATTATAACATTATACTAATAGTACATTGTAAATGCTTCTTCTTCCTCTACTTTTACTTTCCAGAAAACTAAATCTCTAGGTTCCCTTTCAAGACACTTCACACACCCCTCTTCATTCTCTGAGCTGAGATACTTTTTGCATGATAGTTGTCTAGGCTGCAACTCTTCCTCCCCTTTCCTAAGGTCATTCTCACGTACCATTTCAGGGGCCAAGGGCATGACCAGTTCTCCCTCCATTGTCAACACTGACTGGACTCAGCCTCTGAGGAAGAAGGAGACCACCATAGCACAGTGCTCCCAACTATCAAACCTGCAGCTGGTCCATCCAATGAGGTGCAATCTCTTAGCCCAATCAGTCTGCTTTCATCGTTTTTTTAATCTTTGAAATAAAATTTATAGGATTGAATTCCTATGTCAAAATTATTCATATGCAATTTTGTTCTTGCTGTATTTTTATAGAAAGTATTGTCAGCACACTTTATAACAACAGAGATTAAGGAAAGGAGCCCATGGCAAGAAAACCTGCTGGTAAGAGAGTAATCATCAGTGAAGGACAAGAGCAAGATGTCAGGTTATGGTGCATGCCCCACTTCTTGTATGCACAAATGCAATGACAAATGAAAGAAGCACATCTAGTTTTGTGTAGCTTTATCTATCTTTCTTGTTTTGATCTCATTGCAGACCCCAATGGGTAAGTGCCTGTGAAATTTTCCTAAATAAGAAGCTTTATGTTTGAAAATAGCCTTACCTGTCTGCATCTTGATGGCCCATGCAGACATTCATTAGTGCATTACACACAAAGCTATAGCGACTTGGTGCATTGTCATTCAGAATCTTGCCCAACATTGAATATTTAAGGCTGCGAATGGAGGGATTCTCAATAAAATCCAACATGAATTCAGGATCCCATAACAAATTGGAATTTGAAGGTTGAACATTGCTATATATGGTCTGCTTTACCTTTGAACAGGCACTACTAAAATAAGAAAGGAAACAGAAATAATCAAGCAAGGAAAACAACAATTTCATACAAAACAAAGTTATTCAGTTAATTAGTACTGTGTACAATTTACTTTGCAACACTTGCTCTTAAAGCATTGTACATATAAAATAACTGAGAAGAATTGAAACTCCAGTTTTCAAAGACGTCACAAAATATATAGTTGAACCAGCAAAAACTGCATGATTGCAAAGGTATATCATTGGTCCCCAACCTTTCCAGCTCCATGGATCAGCAGCAGTGGCAGGTGGGTAGGGAATGGTTTTGTGCATGTGCCACTTGCACAAATGGAGCTTCACACACTCGCCTGCCACTTGTGTGACCCTCTTCCCAATTGGTACCGGTTCACAAACTGAGGGTTAAAGACACTTGCAGTATATTGTCTACTAAACATGAATAACAATGAATCTCAAACTCAAGTAAATCCTGGTCAATTCCTGAGTGATGGATTAAGATGTTGCAGTACAACAAGGGAAAATGTAAGAAGACTTTTCAATAGCATGTTCAAAAGCAGGAAAATAACATATTTATGACCCATGTTAATTCAAGAAAAAAAATCCATAGCAAATATACCTAAATCAAGTGGCAAAGGATTGTATGACTACATGGCTGAGGTATGATTTCATACATGAAGTTGTCTATCTGCTTTGTATTCTCTCAACAAACAACTTGAACATTGTCATACTAGAAATAAGAGGGGCTGCAAATGTAGGCAAAATCTTGCTGCAGAGGTTTTGGAAGGATGGAGATTTCCCCATCCCAGATATACTGGGGGAACCACATCAACATTAACAGAATCCTCTAATTAGTAAAATAAAGTATTTCAAATGAACATTCAACCCCTGGATATTTAAAAGACCCCTTGGAGCCTTTTACAGATCCTACTTAACATCGGGCCATTTCAGAAATATTCTTGGTTAAATGTTTATTCTGAACGCAGCTGTATGATTCAAAGTGCATTCCAAATGGGGTGACATTATTCTGATGCTTATAAACACATACCAATCTTTTTATTTATTTTTTCAAGCTTTTACTTTTTCTACCCTTGTCTACAACACATTTTCTGAAAGCAGGCAGATTAGTTGTTTCTGTGATTACAAAACCTCAGTGCTGTGATGCTAAAAACCATAAAATAATGGTACAAATCTCTATAAAGTTCTCCTTCCAGAACTCAGAAGGAAACTTATCTATTACTCTGTGTATACTATGCATAACAGAACTCTCACAGTACTATAATATGTAGCAGTGATGCAAAGATAGTGTTTTAAAACATTAATGATTTGAAACAGGTATAGAAGTCTCCTATATAAGCACAGAGAATATTTCTCGATCACTAGAAAAGGGAGCATGAACCTTATGTATACACATAAAGTACACTACATACACTATTCCCTTTTAGGATTTTAAGATTACTAACATTAAGTAGAGAACAGAAGAGGAATAAAAGCTGTAAGAAAAGAAAAGTTAAAGGTATGAGACAAGACGAATCTAGCTAAATCTAAATCATTTATATCTAGACCTTCTCATGGTTATCATCTTTGTGAATCATCCATACACTGCTTCATATATTGCCTTTTATTATTTAAAGTTTTCATCTTTTTGATTATCTCAATCCTTGGTCTTCCCCTTTCTCTTCACCCTTATATATCCTAGATAGTACACCAACTCCTTAAGAAGCTATCCTTGGACCAACTGTATTGGAAAACACATGATCTATTCTCTAACCTCTTTTTATGGAAGATTGTTGAGATAGAAATTGGTTTCAGCTGTAGAGAGACCTGGATAAAAAATCTGAACCCTTTTCAATCTGGATTCAAGCTAGGGTATCATATGGAAGAACATTGGTTGTGATTGTGGATGGCCTTCGGACAGCTTGAGATGGAGATGGTGCAACTGACCTGGATGTCTTAGCAGCTTTCAGTAGCATTAACAATGGTATCTTTCTGGACTGACTACAGAAAATGTCAAAGGCCCTTTTCTGCAGCGGTTCTCCTCCTTCCCCTCTGGCCACTACCAATTGGTAGAAGGAGGAGTCAGCCCTAGGTAGAATGTTGCCTTAGGCTTTGGGCTTCTCACCACTCCTTGTTAATATTTACATGAAACTGCTCACTAAAATCATAAAATAGTACAGAGTTAGGTATAATCAGTATTCAGATGATACCTACTCCTGGCAGGGCAAATGATACAATTTCAGGGTTTATCCAGTACCTGGAGACTGTGGGGTCTGGGTCAAAAGGAACTGGCTCTAACTAAACTCTAACAAACAAAAATGGTTTTGGGTTTAGTTCTTGGGCTGGCAGACATTTTATCTTTGACTCTCTTGATAGCTTTTCCCCATAGACAGCTGGTGCATAATCTGACATCTATGACTTGGATAGTAAGGTTCAGTCCTGTGCGATTTTCTTTAGCTGTTTGATTTGGTACCTGTTTTTTCTTATTTTTTTCTTTCTTTCATTGTTTTATTGTTATATTTTTGGTACCGCTGTTAGATGCCCAGAATTGTATTACAAGATGGACAATCATATTAATTATTTTCAATAAATGAGCAGATTTGTTTTGTAATTGATCCTTATTTATTCTTTTCTGTTACCAGATCTCCAGCACCTGTTTCATACTAGTCATTCATTTTTGTATTTAGTCCACATTCATTCACGGACCCTATCTCTTCTTCTTTTACTATACACACTTCCTAAGCAACTCATCCCCACCGCATTTGCCAAATTCTCACTTTCCTATAATAAAGTTGGAAGAAATATAGGCTTACACACAACTATTTGTATTTATTCCAATAAATATCTATTCCTTTCAATAGACCAATTACTATCCACTACATTTCTATTTCTATTTGTTTTAGCTTTCTGCCATTTATGTATAATGTTTAGTTGTTCGTTTAATTTCCTGGGTCAAACAAAACTGCTCTTATCTATGATAGATTAATTTTTAGATCCATACACTTGTAGCATAATAGTCACTACAAATCATTCAGCTTATCAAATAATACCATGAGATTAATTGCATATTGAGTAAATAAATAGGCATGTTTACAAACACCTATGATATATCCACCAACATTTTATTCATCACTGTATTAAACAATGAAAAAGACATCATACAGCCTTATCTTACTTCCTGTTCCATATTGAGCCACTTTCTAAACATTCCAGTGATTCTCAGAAATATTCAGTTATCAACCTTCATAATTAAACACAATTCAAACATTTATATACATAATCATACATTCTAAATCAACAATCAAAAGTCTTTTTCACATTCATACATCTCTCAATAAGCTGACAAACAGAAACATTCCAATGCATGATAATGTCATTCTTTTGTCAGGTAGAAGCACATTCTTCACACACATGTAAAAGAAGTCACACTGCTATTCCTTAAACAAATTGGATCGATACATTAACTTTTCTCTAGATATAGCATCAATATTTCTAGTCTTTTCAAGTTACAACAGTTCTGACTTACTTTTCATAATTTTTTTGTGGGGACACTATCATTTATAGCATTTGTTTACAAAGTTGATCTTTGTAATTTATGAAGCCCAACAAAACAATAGAGAAAGGCAGGTAAGATCTGAATACCATTATTATACATTCATTAATTTTTAGGAGTGATTATCTTATATAGTACAGGGTAATAATGGTGGACAGATGAAGAAAAGATATATATATATATATATATATTTGTTTTCTTAAGTTTTCGCGGGTACTTACATGTATGGTGTTCGGCTTGGTTCGGGTATTTTCCCACGTCATTGTAGTTCTTTTAAAGTTGTAGCAACGTTTCAGCAGAATCTCATCTGCCATCATCAGGCTTCTGTATTGTGTCCGTTTTTGGGTCAGACTTTTACAGTGGTTTCAGATTTAAATTTGGGGCAGCCTATTGCTGTGCCAGAATGGTTTTTTCTTCATCCTTCAACCAGCCAAACACCTCATGGAACTAACAGAACACTGCTTAACCAACACATATTTCATATACAAAGGACAAAGATACAAACAAATAGAAGGAGCCCCCATGGGATCACCACTGTCACCTGTCATTGCTAACCTGTTCATGGAAGAATTCGAATCCAGAGCCCTGGCCAATGCCATCCTCAAACCCAAACTATGGTTAAGATACATTGATGACACATTCGTGATTTGGCCCCATGGACAAGAAAACCTAAACAATTTCCTAACACACCTAAACAGCGCACACCCCAAAATCAAGTTCACCATGGAAACAGAAACAAACAAACAACTACCATTCCTAGATGTACTAATCTACAAAAAAACAGATGGCACACTAGGACACACCATATACCAGAAGAAAACACACACCAACCGCTACCTCAACGCCCAATCCCACCACCACCCAGCACAGATAAACTCCGTGGCTAAAACACTAATTACCAGAACCAAACGCCTGGCAGACAAGACACACATTAAGGCTGAACTATGCACCCTGACTAAAGTACTGACAGCCAACGGCTTCCACAAAAGCAAAATCACCAGCTTGATCCACAAAAACACACTGAAACATAACAGAGACCCAGAAGATGAACAGACCTATGGAACAGCTGTCCTGCCCTACATAAGAGGTACTACAGACAAAATTAGTAAGGTACTACACAGACATCACATCAGGACTGCCTTCAAAACAGACAGAAAAATAGCAGCCATCCTTAGCAACCCCAAAGATAAAATTGACCTGGAAAACCAAGGCATATACGAAGTCCCCTGTGCATCATGCCCGGCCACATACATTGGACAGACCAATAGAAGAATAAGTACCCGCCTGGATGAACACAAAAATGCAGTCAAAAAGCTGGAACACACTTCCTCACTAGTCCAACACATGGAAGCTACAGGTCATAGCATCAACTTCAATGGCACCAAAACCCTGGCCACTATGGAAAACCCTAGCCACAGAGTCATCAGAGAAGCCATAGAGATTGAAAAAAGACCAGAAAGCATGAACAGAAGAGATGATTCCACCAGGCTGTCAATCATTTGGAAGCCTGCACTCACAAACAAAAAAATCTCCACACCACAAGCCAGGCAAACACCTGGGCACAAACAGATCCCCCCTGATACCTCTAGCTCAAACACACCCCAACCAGGCACCCAGATGAAACCCAGCTTCCTAACTAATGATAGCCGTCCATTTACCCGAAGCCAAGCTGCACTAAAGGCCTCCATTAAACTCCGAGACCAATAAACACAGACCAAGACTCCCAACCAATCAGGATGAAGAAAAAACCATTCTGGCACAGCAATAGGCTGCCCCAAATTTAAATCTGAAACCACTGTAAAAGTCTGACCCAAAGACGGACACAATACAGAAGCCTGATGATGGCAGATGAGATTCTGCTGAAACGTTGCTACAACTTTAAAAG